TTTGTAAAAAAAAAAAGAAAGTTTAAATAGTGTGGTTGATTGAGTGTTTTGTTAAAAAGACGATTTATACCGACGAAATAACCTTGTCGTTAACTATTATGTTAATTAGTGACGATATAGTTTGTAGTTGAAAAAAATATGGTTTTAAATTTTGTAAATAGATACTATATGGTTTGATTTTGATTTTACTAAAAAACAATTGCAAAAATAATCGAATTGACAAATTAAATATATAAATTTTATAATTATTTATATATTATTCATAAATAAAAATATAAATATTTTGTTAAATTTTAATTAACTTAAGCCTTTAATATACCATTTTCTCAAGTCCAACACTTAAATTTTAACTCAACTATTATAATCCTAAGTCCAAGTCTATCAAAATCCATTACTTTAGTCTTTACATACCCTATCTCACATAAGATAGTCACTCATTCTCTTAATTGAATCACTTTCTTCATGTAGTAATAATTATTGTATTGCTTAATTGTTTACTTGAGCCGATTGTAGTTTTCTTGTGGATTGTTTATGTACTAGGTGTTTGTAACTATCGAGATTCGTATGTCCTCTAAAAGTTTATTACTTTTCAGACCCAAAAATTAAAAAAAACAAATCAAACCAAACAAAATAGATAATAACCAAACTAACAATTATTTTTTCATTTGGCTGGGTTTGGGTTAGGAAATTTGAAAAGCAAGCTAGATTAGTTAGGTTTAATTAGTTGTAACAAATAATCGATTCAAAGCGAACCACAAACACCCCTAGGCACAAGGTATCACTTTATCCGAGAATTCATTGCCAATAAAGAGGTAGAACTTAAATATGTGAAATCTCATAATCAAGTTGCGGATATCTTTACAAAGCCTCTCAAGTTTGAAGATTTTCAGAGGTTGAGATCAAGCGTTGAAGTAAAGAAAGAAAAATAAAAATTAAGGGAGAGATTTGTGGGAACAAAGCTTGATAGTAATTTGGCAGCTACACTTGTGAAAATCAATAGCCACAAATGCAAAAATTGATAGTCATAAATGTGAAAGATAGCAACCTTATTTGTGAAAGTTGATAGTCAAATTCTCATAGAGTTTTGGTGGAGTTTAGCCACCGAATTTTGTGAATTTTTTTTTGTCATATTTACGTTACTAATGATGTAATTAGAAGGTTTAAAACTTTATAAATATAGAGGTAATTGAATATTTAAAAATACACCAAATAGAGAAAACAAAATAGAATAGTGAAAAAAATCCACAAGCTATTTGTAATTTGTGAGAAAATTGTGCAAATACTTTAATTTTGTATTTTAGGAAGGATATTTTAGAGTCAATAGGTGGATGAAGGATAATTTTTATATGATTTTTAATACTTTAAGGATATTTTAGGCCCCTTTGCGTATTATATTACATAAGCATTTGTATTATACATTTAAAATTTATTAAACCAAAAAATTAGAAAATAGTTTCGGAAATAATGCTTCAAAAATATTTATTAAGCGAGTAACTATTATAAAAAATTTAACGCTTGAATTAAATTAACCTAAAAAATTAACTAGCTCATTAGGAGAGATATATTCAAGTCTATACTAAGAGACTAATTTTACATCCCTCTATCGATATAGAAACTTCTTAACGAAACAATACTCTTGAAAGTTTAGCGTATTGAAAAAATCGAAAGAAAGAAGAAAAAGGTAAGAGGATAAATAAGACAAAGAAGTCATAAAGTTAAATATACGGTGATCTTCTTGCCTAATCTTTGGTGTATGTAATTATTAAATGATGGTATTGTTTTAACGTATTGTATGAATTTGTTAAATTTGAATATATGATTTTGGAAAAATATAAAAGTATCTTCTCAATCTAGTCCGAGATCTCATAGACACACTTATATTATATTAAAATTTTATTACCCCTTCAATTTATTATATAAATAATTTTCTATCGTTTATGCTATATTAAGATTTCTAGCCCCTAAACTTATAATATAAATAATTTTCTATCATTTTTCAGCATACCTGACACTATCTTGTGGGTCCAATATGTGTTGACATTCTTTTTCAAGCTAGTGCTGCGTAGGTCAAAAAGGGGTAGAAAATTATTTATAAAATAAGTTTAGAAGAATAATAGAACCTTAGTATAGTATAAGTGTCTCTGGAATTTCGGATATAAGTTGAAGAGATACTTATGCATTTTTCGTATGATTTTCACTCAAGTTATCAGTTTCAATCAAATTCATACATAATCAGTAATATAATTTCCCTCTTTTCATTTTATTGATATATATATCACTTCAAAAATGTTGTCGCATTCCTTAAATGAATTGTCCCTTTCCTTTGCCTTACGCCTAACACCTCACTTCCACACACTATAAATTAGATCATGCAAACACATATATTTTCAACATTCACTCTTTAGTATCAAATAATCTTTGTCTTAATTTGGTCAAGAAATAACACAATGAATGCTTTGTCTTCAACTTTTCTTTCTACATTACCACAACACCCTAAATCTATTCTTTCTTTTAATAATAATAATTATTATTATTATTCTCGTAACACGTCTTCTTTTACTCTAAAAGTTTTCTCCATTGGTGATGAAAAGTCAATCCCTTCGCCACCAAAAAGAGCACAAATACCCTCAAGAAAACCATCACTTCCTTCGAATATCTTCAACGCATTTGACGATTTTGTGAATACTTACATTGATCCTCCTAGAAAATCTTACGTTGATCCAAAATACGTACTTTCTAACAATTTCGCTCCAGTAGATGAGCTTCCACCTACTGAATGCGAAGTAGTAGAAGGCTCCCTTCCACCTTGCCTAGATGGCGCGTATATTAGAAATGGACCTAACCCTCAATATCTTCCACGTGGACCTTACCATCTTTTCGACGGTGATGGAATGCTTCACTCCATTAAAATTTCCCAAGGTAAAGCTACGTTTTGTAGTCGATTTGTCAAAACTTACAAATACAACATCGAAAATGAAGCCGGTTTTCAAATTATCCCTAACGTTTTTTCCGGTTTCAACGGTATTATCCCCTCGGTCACACGTGGCGCTATTACCTTGGCCCGAATCATTACGAGACAGTTCAATCCCGCAGACGGTATAGGCCTTGCGAATACAAGCTTAGCTTTATTCGGGGGTAAACTTTTTGCCCTCGGTGAATCTGATTTACCATATGCAGTAAAAATAACCTCAGACGGTGATATTATTACCCTTGGCCGTCATAATTTTAACGGAAAACTTGTCTGGGGCATGACAGCTCATCCGAAAATCGACCCCGATACTAACGAGGCTTTTGCTTACCGTTACGGTCCGTTTCCGCCGTTTTTAATTTACTTTCGGGTCGACCCGAATGGTATAAAAACCGCAGACGTGCCGATATTTTCAATTAAACGTCCAACATTGTTCCATGACATTGCAATCACAAAAAAATACGCCATATTTTCGGACATACAAATAGGAATGAACCCGATCAAGTTCATACTCGCCGGTGGTTCACCGGTGGGTATAAACTCGAGGAAAATCTCCCGACTTGGAGTGATTCCACGTTATGCCAAGGGTGAATCGGAAATGAGGTGGTTTGATGTGCCAGGGTTTAATAATTTACACGCGATTAACGCGTGGGAAGAGGATGGAGGCGATACGATAGTATTAATTGCACCAAATATATTATCGGTAGAGCATACACTAGAAAGGATGGATATGATACATGGATGTGTTGAGAAAGTCAAAATTAATTTGAATAGTGGGGTAGTGAGTAGACATCCAATTTCTACTAGAAATCTTGATTTTGGAGTCATAAATCCAACTTATGTTGGGAAGAAAAACAAGTACGTACGTTTTAATAGCATATTCAGTATAAATATTATATATGACAATGTATGTATAATTTTTATTTGATCGTGTAGGTATGTATATGCAGCGATTGGGTACCCTCCACCTAAGTTATCAGGGATCGTAAAATTGGACGTATCGATCGCGGAAGTTGATCGTCGCGATTGCATAGTGGCATGTAGGACGTTTGGAGAAGGTTGCTTTTGCGGTGAGCCATTTTTCGTGGCGAAAAATAATTTGGGAGCTAACGAAGACGATGGCTACGTAATGTTGTACGTGCATAATGAGAAGACAGAGGAATCAAATTTTTTGGTCATGGATGCAACATCACCTAATCTTGATATTGTGGCTAATGTTAAATTGCCTCGTCGAGTTCCTTATGGTTTTCATGGGATTTTCGTAAGGGAAAGTGATCTTAATATGCTATAATTATATATATATATATATATATATATATAAATAGTATCGACCAAATATAATGAAAAGATAGAAGAAAAAAAAATAAGATGAAAAAGGATGTATACAACTCAACTCTAATCATTTTCTAAAGATAAGGTTATATATGACTAGACTTTAGTCATTTTATTATGAAGTTCAGACATATACGATTGAATTTATTTTTTATATGAAATTTAAGTCATATATGTTTGAACTCAATTGATGTTAAGCTTCTAAATGATGTATCACTTTTTCTCTGTGTAATATTGCGTTTATGTGATACAATAACGTAACTCACAAGAAACATGCCTCGACACCTTACAACAAAAATATTTATAACTTACACATGAAAAAAAAAAATAAGGGAGAAAGAGAGAGTATCATTCAATTGTGTTTTTTTAAAAAAAAAAAAAAATTGACCATTATTAAAATAAAATGTTATTATAAAAGTTGATTGTTATAGAGTTTGATCCAATATGTTTAATCACGAAGATATCTTTCCATGCTATTTAATTTTAGGTACTCCATTTCAATTTATTTGTCTGATTTTAACTTATCATGAAATTTAAAAGGGTATAGAAGACTTTCACATCCTGTGATGAACATATATAGAATGTACCAAAATGTTCTTTGATTTCGTGATATTAAAAAAAAAAAGGAGACATTTTTTTTGAAACGGACTAAAACGAAAAAAACAAGACAAACAAATTGGAACGGAAGAAATATCAAGTATGGCCTTAGTATTGCATTGATTCTTCACTTTTTTTGTGTGTGAAAATCAAAGATGTTTTGATTTGAGGAGAGAGTTTATTAACATGTATTAACTTCTGAAAAAGAACTTGATAAAACTGCAATACATAGTGACATTGTTCTTAGCAATGAACTGCACTATACATATTAACATGAAGAGGATGAATAAAATGGACATGCAAATGATGTTTGTAGCAGTATCTAATCACTGGTCTTTGGCATTGAGGAAGAAGGAACAAAGGAAATGTGTTCTATCTGATATGGGATTAGGGGATCCGTTATCCGCGGATCATGAGTTATAGTTCCCATAGCTGCCTGTTTCTCTCTGTAAGATGCCCAAGTTACTAAATAAAGCCCAGCTATAATGAGAACTCCTCCTAAAATGCTGCAATCACAAAGCGCGGAGATTTATCTTAGAAATGGAGGCTAACAACAGACGACTAGCTAGAAGATGGAACGTAAAGAAAGATCGTATGTTCTCAGCAAGTTCACAAGAACCAATCTCCAAGAGAAAGCAAAATAAAGGAAACATGGCAATTTTCTAACAGGAGAGCTTTGCTTTCACCCTCATGTCGAGTATAAAGAACAGAAATGAGAACATACACAGATATACAAGTGAATTTTGTTTTAGGAGTATGAAGTGCATTCAAAATAAATCAGAGTACTAACCTTCCCAGATAAATAGGGCTCCGAAGAAAAACACTAGATAAAATTGCTGACGCTACTGGTTGGAGCGGACTGTATAAAGCAACTAAAGCAGGGCCAAGAACCTTATTGCACCATGTCATAAGTCCATAGTTCAGGGCTGATGCCAGAATTCCCTGAATGACAGTAACCATTATGACGAAAACAAAAAACTGTCCATTTACATACTAAACCAAATGAGATGAAATGTAATAGACAGATGAATGAGGATCCACTATGAAAAATTCACAGACTAACTTTAATTCATGATGCATTGATGATTGTAAACTGAAATAGCAACCTAGGGGAAGTATATGAAGATCATTGACACTGTTATTTAATTTTCAGGGGTGAAAGGAACAGCAGAATTTTTTGAATCAAACAGAGAGAACATTCATATTCTTAAGCCTGGATGTGTAGTTTTGCTTGCTTTTCGGTTCAACCTGATTTTTGTTAACGATATATATTCCATGTTAGAAATGATCGGAGAATTTCACAATCAGTAATTTTGTGTTTTCACATTATCTTAGTGTTGTTTATACCATCGTCTATAATTAAATTAATTTTACTTACCAAAGGAAAAGCTCAATATACCCAGAATATTCAGGGGATTGTTCTTTCTAACAAGGAAAATTGCCTTCGTGTGATCATAATACACCCCCCAAAATCAAGTCTCTCAAGGCGTTGAAATTTTAAAAAAAATCAGTAGTTTTTTAAAAACAAATTATATCTTGTACTCTTTACACTTTTCTTGAAGTTTCTGTATATCATTGTCTAAGATTTTCTTTTTACATGAGGCAAATCATTTTGAGGCATGGGATCAAGATAGACACAATCTCATTTCACGGATCAGGGAAAATGAAGATCAGTTCTTAAGAGAATCTTACAGCATAGCACACAGCGACAAGTTCAGATTGTGTCAAATACCAGTCTGTTGATCCATTGGTCACAAAAAATGACGTCCCAATCATTAATAGAACACCAAAAAGGTATGAATATGCTGTCAATGATAAGTTTGCTGGGTATTTTTCCAAAACTGGAGCCTGCAAAAATTTCATAATTCACTCAACTCTGCACACATTTCATAATAATACACACACATATACTGACAAACTCATTCTTTTCCGGACAACTCTTCAAAGTTAGCCCAAGATAGAAGAAACTGTTTTACCAATCCTGACTGAAGGCCACGCTGCCAACCGAAACCAGATTGTTTCTATGGATTATGTCACAAAAATACTCAGTCTTTTAATACATTGATTCTGTTAACTGGAAGTAGTCTCTAGCTATTATTCAGCAAGTCATATTTCTTGATCAGTTTATCACTCACTCACAAATTTGTATAATGTGGATTACTAGAACAGAATCAAAATTTCAAATGCCTAAGATCAAGTAAAAGGTGTCCAACATAGTGGTAAGATGGATGCAAATAAATCTCTTTTAGATGAATGAGGGTTGATAGATCAAAGTTCACAAGAGCAGAAAACAATTACTAGATAAATTATTGTGAAACGGAAAGTGATAATTTTTAAGGAAAGGGTAAAGGGCATTATAATTTCCACACTCTAACTATAACCAGGAAACTTCATGTATTAACAAAAACTTGGCGATGAAAGTGAAGCTCAATAATAAACCCAGTACAGTTTTAAGCTTAATCTACAAACTGCTGAACCTTGGGTTCGGATATATGGATCTCCACTGTCCATATTCCCAGTTAAGCTCACCTTAGTCCAATATAGCACAGTTAAAGCCACATAAAATTGGAGGGTGTTACGTATACTTTTGAAAGAATATCAGCTTTTAGCAGGAGAACTTTCAATTAGAACAACCAGTTTAAAAAATTATAATGCTGATCAAACTACTAGCCTTGTTGAAAGGAAAAGCAGACAGTTCACTTCACAAGTTTGTTTGTGAACTGCAGACACTTGCAGACGAACTAGTACACCTATCTACCTATTTCCATTTAAGAACTAGACTATCTGGAGACACTGGAAAGAAAGTTCTGACTAGCTACGTAAAAGGCCTCAAATCAGTATCCTTATGTTCTGTTTACCCCTAATTCACATGTTATTAGAGAAGGAAGCTCACCGTGAAAGGTCCTATATACAATGAAAGATCAGGATCCATCTTTTACCGCCAATGATATATATAATTTGTATATCTGCATAGCCTTTCAGTTTCATCATTGAGAACGGTCTGCTATTTATTGCAATCAAGTCATTCTGAATTAACAATTGAAATGATTATCTAGTTACCTGAAAAGCAAAGTATGCTGCCATGCACATACAGTTTCCTATTAAACATAAGACGCCAAGGTGCCAATTATCAAATCCCGACTCTAGAAAGCTAGACATTAGCCATCCAGCAGGCTCCGGTTGAACCTTAGCACTTATCTCAATTTGTGCTGTGAAGTCCACTGTGCTGTCTCCAAACACCACTGGGCCACGGGAAATAGCCATTAAAATTGCCCCAGAAACACAAACAATAGTACCTCCAACCTTTGTCTGACCTTCCACAGTAAGAAGTTTCGCTGTTTCCGTACTGCATATATAACACATATGAGTAATGTTGAGCAAGCCACATCATATACTCTTTTCAAAAGCCTGTCCCGACTCCCTTGCATTTCCGTTAATATTTTTTTATACCAAGAAACTCTGGAGGGTCAATGAAGCCAGGTTTTAGAACTCGGTGAGAATGGATCTACACATCTAGCCTAGCACAACTAAACTAAGACATAGAAGTTTCTTCACAATATAGATGCCCGCCTCATTTTTACTAAAATATTCTGCAACAGCACCATGCTCTCTGTGGTCCACTTCAATGTTACCTTGACAATTGAACAACACCATGTACTCTATGATTGATCATAAAATTACGGTTTTAACTCACACAGCTAAAAATATTAAAGGACAAAAGAGCACTACAGTATTTTCGCCAAACAGAATCTCCCCTTCAATTGTTTTTAAAACAGCAGCACATAAAACCAATTTTATGAACATTTATCCTTTCGGGATCCATTAAGTGTTGCCCAGTTTCAGCCTTACAGAATACAATTATAGCTTTTGAGAGATGAAAAAATTCAATTAATCAAAAATGTAACTACCAATTTTAATTATTTTTTTTGTGAACTAGATTCGACTGAAACTCAAACTTCTTATACCAAAGCACCTGGTTTTATTCTAACACATCATCCTCAAAATCGCTGAAACAAAAAAGAAAGAAATAAAAGAGATCTACAAGGAAGGTTAAGATGATGAAAGTTTGGGAGCTCAAAAGTATAATTGGGATAAAACATGGACTATCCCACTTCATGGTGCATGATTAAAAGCTTAAGCAATTGAATCTGGATGAGTTAGTAGATCAAGCGTCCCAAAAGTAGTTATAATTCTATTAGGCAGTTAGCATTTCAAAAGAGTTAGATAACACTGTTCACAGCTTTTAGTTAGCTCAGTTAGTTCAAATACTGGACAATGCAGTAGTTCATCAAATTTGTGTATAAATACAAGTCCTACTTGTACATTGATCACATTTGATGAAATAAGATATTTCTTCTCTTCTCCCTGCTAAACTTTATTAGCTCTGTACTCAGATTTCCCTGTGTTAGCTGCCATCTTCTTCAAGTTTATCTCCTAGATTAACTATCCTCCGTCTCGATCTCTCTTTTGTGTATCACTTCGTTATGCAAACCTCTTTTTCTAAAAAGAAACCTTTTTCTTCCCCCCTAAGTTTTACCTCGCCCCGCCCCCTTCTGCCACCTAAACATCCGTAGGTGCTGCTTTGGGGGGTAAGGTGGAGATTGGGTTGGGAATTCTGTAGTTAGTTGGTCTTTAATCTAGATGGAAGGTCTTGGGATATCAATGTAATTTCATTTTTCAAAAAAGGGGAAGCCAAATTGAAATGGACAAATAGAATCAGTTAGCATTTTTTTCTGAAATTCAAAGAATTCCCTCTTCTATCTGTCTCAGACTTAATCTGTCATTGTTTATCCCCTCTCTTAAAGTGTTTCTGCAATTTTGTTCCTTAGAATGTCCATTTCACCAAAATAGTTACTGAGTAATCTCGGGTTTGTATTGCATCAGTTTGGAGGATATACATTCTCAAATTGATTGCAATTACTCTCATTCTATGCACAACAATAAGGTACTGGTGATTGCTCCAATTTAAAGCACAAAACGAATTTGGTATTAAAAATACAGCATTTGATACTTGATAGAACTATGACCTTTCACAGCTCACAAAGTTGAGCAACACAAGATTCACTCAACACCCAGGACATGCAAGAACTGGGAGTGATGGAGACAAAGATTAAAAATCGAGAGATGAAAGGGATTGAATGTTTACTGACCCCATGAGAACAGCAAGTATGAACGTGAAGACTGGTATTGCAGGTTGTAAAGCAGCAGCATAAGTCGGATTCGTGAAGCCAAGACCAATAAGGAACAACAGTTGGCAACCAAAAATACTGTCTCAGTATTAAGAGAGAAAAAAGGCTTTTTCAGCAATAGGCTTTTATTAAGTGTAACAAAATTGCGGAAATTAACAAAGCAAATCCAAATATACAAGGTTAGTACATCAAAACTTACCCAGTTAATCCTAGAAGGAAGAATGACAGTACAAGCCGCTTATTCAGAGGAAGCCTCGACCTCCTATAGATGGAGAAACATAAAATTTACATTTGTAAGTGATGCTCATATGATTCCAAATATTGTAACTAAACTTGTTGTAATAGACTGAAAATACAAATGTAATATAAACAGCGGGGCCCGCAGTTTGCACTACTACCACTTTTTCTGAAAAGGGTAACGATATATGACAAACATATCAGCAGAAAGGAAATTCTAGAAATCATATTTACAGAATGCAAAAAAATTGAAATAGCAAAATACAATTCATCTTAATTTTTTGTACCGAGCTACTTCTATCTTCAAAACATCTGGCATTCCTTTTTTCAATCATATCCACCAGATACAAGCTGGTATTATTCTCCACCATCTCTAATGCTTAACAGTATTCCAGCAATCAACAGCTTCTTTGTTGTCTTAGCCATGGTCCATTTAAGTCCAGTCATGCTAAGAAACAGCTGAAAGAGTCGATGTGCTACCACACAATGCAGGGGTAAATGACTATGGCGATCTGTTTCAGTCTGACACAAGTGGCCTCTAGAGCACATATAAATGCTCCTTCTCATCACTTTTCCTTAGTGAGACAAGCCTGTTTGGCAACCAACCAAGTAAAACAAGCCCCCTTGAAAGGAATCTTAGTCTTCCAAATCTGCGTAGTAGGCCACTGGCTATCTTGACTTCATTTCCCGACACAATAAAATAGGCAGACTTAACTGTAAACAACTTGCTATTCTTGCCTTTCCAGAGCAATGAATCCTTGTTATAAGTAGTCCCTTGAAACAGCTCCAGTTGTTTGAACAATACAACAACTCTCTATATCTCTCAATCATACAACCTTCTGAAATTTAGGTTCCAACCTTGCTGGCCCCGTGCTTCTTCTACTGTGATCGTTGGATGGATGTCAAATTAAACAAATCTGGAGTTACTACTACATCCACCTCCCAATATAGGTTTCTCTTGCACCTTAAGGTTCCAATACATTCCCTCTACTGCGCTCCCAAGATTTGTTGTAATATCAACTACCTATACATGTTTTTTGTTGTACCCGTGATCTCAAAAGCTACATCTACTTCAATCCTAAATCCCCCTTTTTTAGAGTATCTCTCCTGCCAACCTGCTACTTTTCACTATCACTTGGTTCCATGTTACTTGGTCTTTATTGGACGCGACCAATGTTAAGCCAATGTGAAACTACATCTACATTGATTCCATAAACAAGCCAATGAAAACTTAGCCAGTGTATGGGACCTATTTCTGCATAGTTTAAACATTGTAAATATATACCTGCTGTTTGACCAAAAAAATGAAAACGAGAACAAGTGCTACACAGGTAGGAGCTTTTAAAGTTATCAGTATCTGAATATGGTAACAATAATTTCATAAAAATCCATGCTTTACATGTACATAAATTCAATTGTCTATCTACAAAGTAGCTGAATCATGTAACATAAAAAGGGAATATATGTAAAGAGATAAAAGAACTAACTTTTCACGGAAATAGGCAATTGGGGCAAGAATAGCTATAGCAATAAGGTCTCTATACAAACAGAAGACAATTTCATTGATGCCCACATTGAGAGCCACCTTAGTAATCACATGGTAACCACCATAGACAAGCTGAACCAAAGCCATTGCAGCATGGGCTTTCCATACATCACCCCCATTTCCTACTGCCATTTTTGCTCATTTCATCCCCTCCACACCCACCCACCCCCCTTATACATACAGTCCACCAAGTTTAATATTGGGTAGGTGGTGATTTTAAAAACCAAACAATACAAGAATCAGACAAAAGGAGTGGACTTTTTGTATGAACCTCAAGTTTTTCTACAGAGTTTGTAGTCGGGGATTTTTGGTCACAACAAAATGAGTAGATTTAAAAATTATAATTTTTAAATATTTAATTTTTTTATTTAAAAATATTAAATTAATCTAATCTAATTTAATATTGAAAATTAATCAAATTAATTTTCGAAAAAGAATAATATGACAAAGAAAAATAGATTAAAAAAAAAAGTATCAAGATATTAGTAAGATTTGTATTAGTTATTTTAACATAACTTTTTTAGAATATTATTTATAAAAATTGTTTATAAGAAATTTTCATGTATAAAAAAAATTAGCATTATTTCTAAAATAATATGTATTGCACGTTACTAACGCTATGAAATTTTCACATATCAATATTACATACCTCAATACAGCTCGATATTATAATTAAGAATATACAAAACTAATATAATATAGGTTGGTTCAATTAATGATTAAAAAATAAATAATTTGTTAACAAGTGTACTAAATAAAAATAATTTAAATAAAAAAATCAATAATGCAATTCACACGTCATCCAAATAAGCTCCTTTGATCAGGTTGTTTATCAATTCCTAATTAGTTGTTTTAATGATTCCATAGATAAATGTCCCTTGAAGTATCGTTATTTTTGAAATTTTTTAACTAGATAATTTGATAACCAATATTATAACTAAATAAATATTATCTTTCGTGAGTGATTATTCGACTTTGTCTTCATTATCGAAAAGTCATTAATTTTTATTTTGTTATATGAAGATCATACCTAAAATATATACAAAAATATCTCTTCTGTTTGAAGGTAGATTCAAATTGAACCCCTAAATATATTTTTGAAAAATTTTAGTCCACTATTTTACAAAAAATTGAGAACACTTACATACATATCTGAAAACTTAAGCAATTTTACGACGAAAAATATTTGACTCCCGACCAAAAAGTCAATTGTGATAGAAAAACTTTATGATAAATTGTTGGTCCATTGCACTCAAGTGTTATTGGGTGCAAAATAGCATGTTCTTATACCAAAATAGGAAATTTTCTATCTCATAAACAATGGTTCAGCGACTAATTGAAAGTATTTAATAAAGACATAACATAACTTAGCCTCAAATCACATGTATATTCTTCAACTTTGTGTGTACACGAGTAAACACTTTCATTTATAGAAAATTAAACAAAATAGACACACATGTTTTACTTGACATCCTATATGACAACTTGTGTCCTACGTGGTGTCCAATACTTAAGCAATTTAATACAAGTTTAATTGTCTACTTGTGCACCACCCAAAATTGAAGGACATGAATCTGAAAAAGATGACAAGTTAAAGGGCATTTACATATTATGCCTTTAATAACTCATTCTTTTAAACCATTTTGAGTATGAACATGAACAATATGATGTTTACTTAATATCCGAATGGCATACAATAATAAGGCCTGAGACGTAAACTCGTCAACATTATCAAGATAGATTAGCTGAATTGCACAATCTAAAAATTGTATTGGTAATCTTATTATTTGACCAAGCAATCTCGCAAATGTCAAAGTTGATAAACTAGCCTTAAATATCAATCACCCCATCATTGCATAAAGAGAACTTACTGCTGCTCGCTTTGGAGACTAAACTATGTAAATAATACGTAACAGTAACCCAAGTAACGATAATAAGAAAGACCTGTCAGCCCCAATCCTTCGGTTTCCGGATTGGAATAAGGAGTTCCATGTTCAATTTAACGAGATTGTAGGGGGTTCAGCCTATTCCAATGCAGTGAATACGAATAATGCAGGGTTCCAACCCTCTATAATCGAGTGACGGAGGTATGACTGCAATACATATTTATCATTCTTCTTAGCACTGAACTACACATTATCATGAAGAATAGGGCATGCAAAGGATATCTGTGGCAACATCTAATCACTGATCTTTGGCATTGAGGAAGAAGGAACAGAGGAATTATGTCCTATCTGATATGGGATTAAGGGATCCGTTATCCGCGGATCATGAGTTATAGTTCCCATGGCTGCCTGTTTCTCTCTGTAAGATGCCCAAGTTACGAAATAAAGCCCTGCTATAATGAGAAGTCCTCCCAAAATGCTGCAATCACAACGCGTGGACATGCCTTAGCTAACGACGAATAACTAGATGGAATGTAAAAAAGAAAGATCATATGTGCTGCTCAGCAAGTGAAATATTTCATAGTTTCACAAGAACCAATCTCCCAAAGAAAGCAAGTCAGAAAGGAAACATGGCGATTTTCCAGCAGGAGAGCTTCACTTCATCCTCATGCCGAGTAGAAAGCAAAGAAATGAAAACATACACAGATATAAAAGTGGATTTTGTTTTAGGAGTATGATGTTGATGCAGAAAATCAGAGCACTAACCTTCCCAGATAAATAGCGCTCCCAAGAAAAATACTAGACAAAATTGCTGTTGCAGCAGGTTGAAGCGGATTGTATAAAGAAACTAAAGCAGGGCCAATAACCTTATTGCACCAAGTAGTAAGTCCATAGTTCAGCGCTGATGTAATAATTCCCTGAGAGACATTAACCATTGTGATGAAAACTATTTTCATTTCATCCCAACGAAAATGAGATGAGATGTTATGGACAGATGAATGAGAATCCACTATGAAACATTCAAAAGCTAATTTAATCCATGATATATTGATGATTGAAAATTGATATAGCAACATAGGGGAAGGGAGTATGAAGAGCATCGGCCTTATTCTTCAAAGTTCAGAGGCAAATCTGGATCATCTTGCATAGTTCGAGAGCGAACTTAACCATTTTCCCTTACATAAAAAGGACCGTGCTATAGGGATCGGTCCGACTTTAGTACCATGATAAATTATTTGGCCACCTCAGGTAAAAAGTTAAGCTGTTCGTGAGAGCACGAATAACTTAATTATGATTTCAACAACCAAACTTCAACAGTTGATTTAAAAGCAAATTATACCTGGTATGACATTTCTAAATTTTTTGGTATATCATTGTGTCAGATATCTTCTTTATGTGAGACAAATCATTTTGATACTTTGATCAAGATTAAAAAATACTATCTCATTTCATACATCAGCGAAAATGAAGATTGGAACTTAAAAGAGTCTTACAGCATAGCACACAGCACCAACTTCAGATTGTGTCAAATACCAATCTGTTGATCCATTGGTCACAAGGAATGACGTCCCTATCATTGGTATAACGCCAAAAAGGTAAGAATATGCTGTCAATGTTAAGCTTGCCGGGTATTCTCTCAAAACTGGAGCCTGCAAAATTTCTTTACTTACTCAACTCTGCATACATTTTATAGTAATACACACATACACTGACAAGCTCAAGGATTTCCACACAACGCTTCAAGCTAGCCCAAGATCTAAAGTGTCACAGACATCTCAGAATAAACTGTTAGTACCAATCATGACTAGAGGTCAACCTACCAACCAAAACCAGATTTTTTCTATGATTATTTCACAAAAATAAGTATTAGGTTTGGTTTTTGGACTAATGGGTATGGATTATATCACAAAAAGATCAGCTTTTTCAAAACATCACTCTGTTGACTGGAATCAGTATCTAGCTATTGTTCATTAATGTAATCTTTCTTAACCAATTATCAAATGATCACTAATTTATATAATCTGGATTACTTTACATAAGCAAAACTTAACCGGTCTAAGATTAAGTAAAGGGTATCCAACAAAGTGGCGAGATGAGCAAATTGATCTCTTTCAGATGAATAGCCATTGGTAGATCAAAGTTCACAAAGAGTAACCAAATAAGAGAGAATATCATGAAACTGAATGTGATCCCCTTTAACAAGGAAGGGTAAAGGACATTATTTTAAATATTTTTGAAATGGTAAAATGTAAGGGGAAAGGTAAAGGACAATTAGGACCATTATACTTCCTATTGAAAGACCAATCTAGTTATATAAGTTTCCCTTTCATTTTAGGACATAAGAGTTTTTCCTCTAAGCAAACAGTGATACTAAAAGGCAATTCAAATTTAAGCAACCTATTCTTCATCTTCACCCCCCACAAAAGAAGAAATTAGAAAAAGAAAGAAAGAAACCCACTAGACTATAGTTGTGATTGTGCAAAAGCAAACCAATCAACAATCAAGATGAATCAACAAGCCATTACCAGCCTTCCCTAAGAACCGTGAGAGCGAATTCAAATCCCTAGACGAGAAAGAAAATGATGGAAGGGGTATTAGACACAATTAAGTTACATTTCATATTTTTTACAAGGTAAGCTACATCTGTATTTTACATAGCAAGATCTTTCTTTTCAAAGATTGTTTCAATCAGTTCTATAAATTCACTCAATACCAATTTCACAATTTCAAAGGCCCGCCTGCAAATGCTAGTGTATCACAGGCACTCACCCAAAGCATGTGAAAATCACCTTCATGAGCATATGATTAAGAAGGAGGTCAATCGTGGCCAATATACAAGGAAGATCAGGGGCAAAACTTTTAAGGGATGACTAGGTATATATGTAAATTATATATGCACATAGCTTTTCAGTATAATAATTGAGAACGGGTCTGCTATTTATTACAATCAAGCCAATTCGAATTAACAATTGAAATGATTATCTAGTTACCTGAAAAGCTATGTATGCTGCCATGCACATACAGTTTCCTATCAAGCATAAGACGCCTAGGTGCCAATTATCAAATCCCAACTCCAGAAGACTAGACATTAGCCATCCAGCAGGCTCTGGTTGACCCTTAGCACTTATCTCAATCTGTGCTGTGAAGTCTGATGTGCCGTCTCCAAACACCGCTGTACCACGGAATACAGCCATCAAAATCGCCCCAGAAACACAAACAACGGTACCTCCAACTTTTGCCTGACCTTCCATAGTAAGAAGCTTCGCAGTTTCTGTACTGCATAAATAACACACATGAATGATATTGAGCAGGTCAACAACTGCGACAGATAAGTTATGTGACAATTCTAGAAATGAACAATGGACTAGCTCATGTTCCTTCCTGTAATGACCAATGACTTAAAAAGCAGGGAACATGGACTACTTCACAGTGAATACTTTATTCAAAAGCCCGTCCCTTGCATTTCCATTTTTTTTTATTCCAAGAGATCCTCAAGGGCAACCGCCTGCATCTCAACTAAATTAACGCATTAAAGTTTCTCCCCATCATAGATGCCCGTCTCATTTCCACTAAACTATCCTGCAACAGCACCATGTCCTCTGATCCACTTCAGGTGCTACCTTGACAATAGAACTACACCCTGTACTCTATCATTGATCATAAAATTACAGTTTAAATGGTACACCATTAAAATAAATAAAGGAGCACCTAGGTTGTTTTTCGGCAAACAGAAACACCCTTTTACCTCAAATGTTTCCAAAACAGCACCACATAAACCGATTTCCTGAAAGTTAACCCTTTTGAGATCCATTCAAGCATTCCCCAGTTACAGAGAATAACTATAGGTTTTGGAAAAATGAAAATGTTTCAATTAAGAAATTTAGAGGATATAGTTTCTTAGTTGATTGTAATTATTCTCATTCTATGCACAAAAGAAAGTATTTGTGATTGCTCCAACTTAAAGCACAAAGCAACTTTGGTATTAAAAATACAACATTTGACACTTGATAGAACTATGATTTTACACAGCTCACAAAGTTAAGCAACAGAAGATTTACTCAACACCCAGGACATGCAAGAAATGGGGGTAATGGAGACAGATACAAAATCCAGAGATGAAGGGAGTAAAAGTTTACTGACCCCATAAGTACAGAAAGTATGAACGTAAAGACTGGTATTGCAGGTTGCAACGCAGCAGCGTAAGCCGGATTTGTGTAGCCAAGTCCAAGAAGGAACAACAGTTGGTTACCGAAAATACTGTCACAATACCAAGAGAGGAAAAAGGAATTTTCAGGAATAGTATTTTATCAAGTATAACAAAACTAAAGGAAATTAACTAAACAAATCCAAACGTACATGCTTATTACATCAAAACTCACCCAGTTAATCCTAAAATGAAGAATGACAGTAGTAGTCGTTTACTCAGGGGGAGCCTTGACCTCCTGTACATAGAGGAATTCCTATAGGGTTAAAATAGTATAAAAGCACAGAAAATATTAGCAATAGCTACTTTTATTAAGGTTGGCTGACAAATTTCTAACAAAAATGTATTCATTGTCCGCTCACCGCCCACCCACCCACCCACCCCCCAAAAAAAAAGATTGGCTATTATCACAAATCTCCAACATGCAATATGGCACAATTTTGAGTGGAACTTACAAGGGGCAGTCCATAACTCTTCAATAAACACAAAATAGATGATATTGCAGCATCAAGTAGTTTCATCTGATCAAAGACTAAGCTACTTCTTTTATAATGTAAAATAATTTTATTAATGGTAGAAAAGTCTCCAGTATACAAGCAGTATATCAGAAGGTAAAAATTCTACAGCTTCATCAAAAACATAAAAGGGTAGAGAATCTACAAAAGAATATGATTTTGCACAAAAGTCACAAAAAATTTTATTCCATGATGTTTTAGACTTTCTAGTTAAAAAGAACCTCCAAGTCTTCTACGCAAACTAAAACTTCACAGAAGCACCAAAAAGATGCTACGAATTAGGGAATAATAGGTCGTTCCTAAAAGAGTACTGTTCAAAACAAGGAGAACTTCACCCAAGGCTCCCCAACTCTTTGGGGATGTGAGAATCTCCCAACTTAGTAAGTAAAACTTCCTATCTCCATTTGTTGAGTCCAATAATAAGTTCCATTAGATAGAGTCTTTTCGATTCTCCAGTTAGTTAGTTGGTAACTGTAGCATAGACATAGTATGTGGGAATGCTATGTGCTCCTAATCAACACTTTCTACCTCCTATCGAAAAGTATATCTTCTGCCAACCTGCAACGTTTAATGATCACTGGGTTCCATGTTGCTTGGTCTTTACTGGACGCACCAACAGTAAACCAAGGTAAACTACTACTTCTACATTGAATTCCAAAAAGAAGCCACAAAAGAGTAGGCAAAGTGATTCTGATGGTATTGTGAGCTTGTGTTAAATGTTGGTATTCTGTCTACCAATGTATGCTAGAGGGTGCCCGTTTTTGCATAGTTAAATATATCTCTGCTATTTGACCACAAAAAGAATAAAGGGGAACCTCCACGGAGAAAAGCAATTAAGTTGTCACTATTCATGATTTACCTGTACATCAAATCAATTGTCCAATGCCTTCTTACAGGGTAATTTATCTGAGGAAGTGTATATGAGTTTGCCACAAGGTTTCCAGTTTCCACAAACAGTGGGAAAAGAAAGTTTGTAGGCCAGTTAAGTCATCGTATGGGTCGAAGCAGGCTTCAAGACAACGCAACATTAAGCTTACAACTGCATTGACTAGTGCAGGATACTCACAAAGTGCCTATGTCCACTCCTTGTTTACAAAGAAGAAGGAATCAGGTATTCTTTCCACAGATACAGAGAGATTAATACACTACTTGGATTGCAAATTTAAGAGAAACATGTAAAAAGGGAATATATGTAAAGAGATAAAAGAACTAACTTTTCACGGAAATAGGCAATTGGGGCAAGAATAGCTATAGCAATAAGATCTCTATACAAACAGAAGACAATTTCATTCATGCCCACATTAAGAGCCACTTTAGTAATCACATGGTAACCACCATTGAAAAGCTGTACCAAAACCATTGCACCATGGGCTTTCCATATCTCACCCCCATTTCCATCTTCAACTGCTTCCATTTTGTTCACACTTCATCCACTCCACACCCACCCCCTATATACAGTCCACCAAGTTTAATAATGGGTAAGATGAATCTTGAATTTAAAATCTAAAGAAAACAAGAATCAGACAAAAGGAGTGAACTTTTTGTATGAACCTCAAATTGTTCTACAGAGTTTGTGTCTTTCAATCTTTTATCACCAAACATTGATGAAAAATTGTAGTTGCCTACTCCTTCACTGAAATTGGCCAAAGGCCAAACAAGAGAGTTTGTTGATGGAGTTTTATAGGTTAACTTTTTAGGAAATTTTCTTTTGTTGAACCCTTTTTTTTATCTTTAATTTAAAAATTCGATGTCAAATCAAAATCGAACATAAAAGAAGTAGCGATGTTAGTATAAAAGCAATTCTCAAGTATGTTTAAGGATAAGTATAAAAGCAATTCCTTCGATGTCAAGAAATATCATCTAATATCTCCCAAAAGTGTTTGGTCTTAACTTTTTATTTTTTTCTATATTATTATAAATCTACCTTTATTACATTTTTATGCATACTAGTTCTCGAACACGTACATGTATCTCATGTTATTTAATATCAAACATTTTACATGAAATAATTATTTTAGAATAATTGATGCATTATACAATATTTAAAGGGTAAAAATGATGTTTCTCGTAAAACATTCAACTAAGGTTGCAACTTGCAAAGATCAATAGAATTTGAAGAATTTTTTATTGTATTGATAAAACTTTTTATTTTAGTCATGTGGGATACACTATATTTATTGGTAAAAAAAATTTACTACTTCAATTATATGATTTGTCAAAATTGTCAAATATCTAACACTATATTTCCATACAAATGAAAGAAGTTAATTAAACTAAGCAATATATCAATAAGAAAAAAATGACTGATGAATAAAAGATTACATAAAAACTATAAGATGTGAAAATATAAAGTGTAATGGACTAATATTTTCTATTTAACTTAAAAAGAGAGAAATTGTGTATATGAAAGGTTGTGAATGAATGTATTTAATTGTAGAAGCTAAAAAATTAAGCAATTAAAGTCATTAAAAAGTGAAAAATAATAAATTGTGATATCTAACCATGTATTCTCTTCAATTAAATATTGATATTGTATGAATATCTCCATATGCTCTAACCTTTCTCTTTATATGCTCTAATGTTAAGTTTTTTTAATCTAAAACGGTAATTGTTAAATCAGTTCATTAATAGGTATATAATACAAAAAAGATAATTAAAAAATCAATACTGCAATTCCTATGTTATTCGAACAAATTTTAATCATTTGAGTAAGATTTTTTTTTGAACAACAGCAACGCTTAACTAAATGTGAAAAGAAGAACTATAGCATAAATAAAACCTTTAAGCTGGTTGTTTATCAGTCTCATAGATAAATGTCTCTTAAAAATTCGTTATTTCAAGTTGATAAACTAGACATTTTATCATCGCATAATCGAGTGATAATGGAATGACTGTTTTTGAGTCTATGTTGACAGTGAAACAAGACAGGAACAAGAATTTATCAACTGCAATAATTCTGCAGGAAGAATTTACTTGACAACTTGATAGAACTGCAATACATATCTGCCATTCTTTTTGCAGTGAACTCACGTATTATAATAAAGAAGATGAAGACAAGGACATGCAAATGCTAACTGCAGCAATATCTAATCACTGATCTATGGCATTGAGGAAGAAGAAACAGAGATAATGTGTCCTGTCTGATGTGGGATTAGGGGATCCGTCATCTGAGGCGCATGAAGAACCGTTCCCTTGGCTGCCTGCATCTCTCTGTAAGATGCCCAAGTTACTAAATAAAGCCCAGCTATAATGAGAACTCCTCCCAAAATGCTGCAATCACAACACACGGAGATATCTTAGAACAAAAGCTAACTACGAACAAATAGAAGATGGATCGGAAAGAAGAAGTCATATGGCCTCAGCAAGTGAAATAGTCATAGTTTTGCAAGAACCAATCTCAAAAAGGGAAGTAAGTCAGAAAGAAAACATGGAGAATTTCCAGCAGGAGAGCTTCATGTCACCCTTGTGTCCTTTTCTCATTGTGCCAAAACAAGTATAAAACAAAGATATGAGAAATACACAGGTATAAATGTGGTTTTGTTTTTCGGAACATGATACACATTCAGGAGAAATCACAGTACTAACCTTCCCAGATAAATAGCGCTCCCAAGAAAAATACTAGACAAAATTGCTGATGCAGCAGGTTGAAGTGGATTGTATAGAGCAACTAAAGAAGGGCCAAGAACCTTATTGCACCATGTCATAAGTCCGTAGTTCAGCGCTGATGCAACAATTCCCTGAAAGACATTAACCATTGTGACGGAACTATTTCATTTCATCCCAACTAAAATATTTGTCCATCTACATACTTACCATATGGCATGAGATATTATAGACAGATGAATGAGAATTCACTAAGAAACATTCAGAAGCTAATTTAATACATGATGCGTTGATGATCTCAAATTGAAATAGCAACTTGGTGGAAGGAAGTATGAACAGTTTTGACTCTGTTCTTCAAAGTTCAAGGGCAAATCTGGATCATTTTGCGTAGTTCAAGAGAAAATTAGATCACTCCACTTGTAAAAAAGGACCACATTATAGGGACAGGTCTTGGCTTTCATACCATGTTAAATTATTTGACCGCCTTATGAAAAAAGTTAAGTTGTTGGAGAGAGCACCAGATACTTAATTATGCTTTTAGCAACAACAATTAACCTGATCAACTCAAGCTCTGGAATAAGGCTGACCTACTCGAGACTGAGATTTGACACATCAAACAAGATGCTATGTGGATGAAGTGGATTCATATGTTTCACCTGAAGTGTCTGCAAAATTGATGATATGATGAAGAAAATCATTGAAACAAGTGTTGTGAATCACAGTCAACTCCAGAATTTGAACAGGAAGAGTCTTATTAGATGTGTGTACCTGCACATGCTAGGGGACAACACAAGAGTACCTTGAAAATGTTTCATGTTCAGGAATGAAGCAAGAGCTAAGTCTATCTTCACTCTGTGGCTTAAATAGTGAAGTAGGCTGCTCACAAAGGATAGATTGATCAATTGGAACATGAAAGTTGTAATATCTCGCAGCTAGAAAGAACTAGAAGGAAGTGACAAATCTGGAAATAGTTACTTTTGGAAAGTATTAAGGAAATCTGAAAAATTTTAAGTTAAAAGTGAGTTTTTGGTCAACTTCAAACGATCATAACTCCTAGCAGGGGATGAGTTAGGTGTAGTTCCAGATATGGCTGGAAAGCTCTTGGAACGATATTTCCAACGCCGCCGAGTTTGCCCGATTCCGAGTTCTATGAATGAGTTACGCCTTTTGAAAGGTGGGCTGTTGAAATAAAGAAAGTCCAATCCGGATTTTGAAGGGGTAATTTGGTTTTTTACTTACCCTATTAATTTATTTCGTTTGTGGTATTTAATTAGGGGTCTAAGCTGAATTAGATAAGTTTACACTTTTACCAAAAGAGTTAGGGTTTTGAGAGAAGAGAAAAGAAGAGGAGAAAAGAGAAGGGCGTTCAAGATTCGTCAAGATCGTCAAAATTTAACTTGTGGATTTCGTCGTGGGTGATCCCTAAAAAGGTATGTGAGTCTTCCTTAACGTTGGGTTCGTTCACCCCCGTGCCAAGCATGTTTGGTTCAGCGTCAAATAGTTCTAAAACGATTGGAAATTGAATGTTCTTGTTGGTTACTCTTGAATTACTTTCTTTCCTGAACATTAGTTAAGATTTAGGAATTTCTCGATGTAAAAGTGTTGTTTCTAGAGTTCATTGGGTTAGATCCTTGTATATATGATGTGGGTACATGAATCTAAAGTGAATTTGAGAAAAAGAATCAAATTAAAATGATTTAAGGTCAAAAAACGAGAGGAAAGATTCGTCAGATTTTTGCCTAAGGAACAGGTTGGTGCGACGCGCCCCCATAGCGCCAGGAAGGCTGGGGCGGCGCTCCAACAGTGCGCCAGAAATGAGCATCAGTCAAGTGAGGCTGGCGCAGTGCGCCCCGGATGCGCCCGGATCGACGTTTTTCACCCAGTTTTCGTTATTCAGTCTGTTTAAGCTTTTCTAAAGTGTATTAACACTTCCTAATGATCTAACTACTCCAAGTGACTTCTAAACATATAGATATCATCCAGAATCATAAATTACAACCTTGAATCCATAACTACAAATTCAAGGATCAGTTAAGAGTCAAGTCAAGAGCAAATAAGATCAAAGTTAAGAGAACTCAAGAGTCAAGTAAGAGAAGTTCATTTCAAGTTTTCATAAGTCTTTTACAAACGTTTTAACTTTGTTTTAAGACTTAAGTTTTGAGTTCAGTTCAGAGTAAAGTTTAAGTCTTTTCTTCAAAGAAGTATATGGGTACTAAGTATTCCCAAAGAAATACAAAAATGTTTTTACATTTAAATAAGAATGGAAACTGAGATTTCTAAAGGGCCTTCGTGCTAGTTTTCAAAAAAAAGAGTAATCGCTTTCTAATGAAGCAAGACCGGAAACTTTGATTTCCAAGATAGCTTTTGAGCTAAGTTTTTTGAGCACTAATCTTAAATCACAGAAAGAAGTATGTTTTTAAAACATAAAAGAGCTAGTATATTTTTAGAGTAGTATTGAGCACCAATATGGGAATGCGAGTTCATCTTAACTCAAGTCTCCACAAACTATGTAGCCATCATGGGTAGAAAGGGTTTCATACTTTTTAGATGAATCATTTTCACAATAGACTAGTGGAGTCACTTAGTAGTTCAAGTCCTACACTCGGGCAAGGTGTAGGATGATCGGGCAGTGTGGGCTTCATAACATTGTACCATCACTATAGCTATTAAGTGATGGTTGTCGATTAGGGAAACTCCCACAACAGTAATTGCATGGTTCCTCAAGGGGTTCTACTTATTATGAATAGGGGTATTGGACTCCATTCCTGCATTGCACAAGCAAACTATGAGAGGGAGCATGGTATGTCTTTTATTATGATTATGAGTTGACATTTTAGTTTATTTTGCATTATTACATACATCTCAGAGTTATTTGTATCTTTGCATACACATAGAGTTGAAAATCATGTTTTAAACAGTTTTTCTTTATATTGCTCTTGTTTTTAAATTGCTTTACATTGAAATAAGTCTAGTTGTGTTAAGGTTAGCTGAGCCAGGTAAGTTTTCCAGAATTTCTTTCAAGCCTATGTTGTTTAGTAATCCAAATTGCATACTCGTACATTCAATGTACTGATGTCAGTTGACCTGCATCGTATTATGCAGACGCAGTTAACGAGGATCAGCATCCAG